TTTTGCTGATCAATTGCGTGATTTCACATGATGATTATCAACAAATAATTAACCAATAATTATTTGTTTATGTTTTATAGAAGAGAAAATTCTCACGACCTTGAGAATTTCCAAGAGTTTAACATAACCACTTCCTTTATGTATAAATATTTGTCAAAATTTTTCTTCTATTTTCTTTAAAATTTTCTTTTTCTTTCAAAATTATTGTAAAATTTCAAACTTTTCTTAAAATATTTTTAACTTTTCAACATGGACAAGAGTTTCCGCAAGTAATTTTTCACACGTCACCAATACAACCTTTAAAATCAAGAAGAAGAAACAAGACGACAAAGGATAGATGAACTTGATATTGAAAATCACAGGCTTCAACAACTATTAAATTCCTCTTTGTCTCAAGTAAATAATTTATCTAACGAAATTTGTTATTTATCTTCCCGTTTATCTCGTAATAGACGTCGATATCAAGACCTTGAAGTAGAATATGAGAGCCTTCTCTTTCAATACAATTATGCAAGAGCTGATGTTAATCGCCTCCAAAGTTATGAAGATATTCAATCAGTTCAAAATCTCCAGAATAATTTAGACCAAATCTGAAGAAACTTTAGAAGACTATTGGAGCAACTTTGTCAGAGAAGTGAAGAATTTAATTTTCCTTATCACGTACCTTTTAATGAATAATTTACTACTAAATATCTTTTCAGAGAGAGATGTCGTTTGCATTTTGCCTGTCATAGAACTATGCTTTGCCGTCACCTTTTGGCCGTTCTATAGACTACGCTCTCTCTCTTTATCTTTTATAGCTAGTAATAGTTATTCTAGATAATTTCTTATAATTGTATTTTCCTTTTCTCTTCTATTTTGATATATCTTATTATCTTTTTATTTTCAATAAAATCTTGCATATTATTACGTTTTTGCCCTTTTAAATCTATAAAGTTTTACAATAAAATAATGATTATAAAAATAAAATACACATTTTTTTTTTTTTTTTTTTTATCACATGATATTGACTTCTAAATTTTGATTTTAGTAATTTAGTGTTTCTATTTCAAGATCAGGTCCTTTCAATATAGAGTTCCATTGAATTAATTCATTGAGTTCATCAATTTTAAGTCTTTTCACCATTCGAATATTAATATGTTGCGATCTCATAATTTGTTCAATATTGTCTTCAAAAATAAGAAATAATCGTTTCACTGCAATATAATAATACTTTGATAATTTTGAATCTTTCTGCGAAATATTCTCTTTGTCGATTATTTCTCCTATATAATAAAGATAAATTAAAGATTCTTTTCTTTTCCTTGTAACTATTTGTCGTCAGGTATATCAAAATAGTATTTTTATCTTCATATTTAAATCTTGAGAAGACATATCAGGCAAGAGTGGTAACATTACATTGGATGGACTAATTTCTAATAAATCAAAATATATCCGTTGATATTCCTGTAACATCTTTTCCTCATTATTACTATTTTAGTAAAATTAAATCTATTTATATTATAATTATTGATCATCAGAAGTATACTAAGATTGGTATCTAATTTAGGAAATAATTATCATTAGTTCCATCTCCTGTTCGTTATATTTCTTCAGTCGATCACCATGTACTGTTCCTTTAACTATTCGTCTGTCCAGTGACCTCAATTTGTAATTATTGAAACCAATTACATCATGGATATAATAAGTACCAATCCATTGAGCTTCCAATTTGGCTGACATATCTCGTTGTTTTCATGTTTTCTCAACTAAAACTTTCTCTCCAATTTTTAATCTTTCTGATACTCGCTGATCATTATGTCGATCTTTTTGTCGCTCTTGTGTTTGATTCATGTTATCAAGTGCATCCTGTTTATCTTGTTAAAATTTGTCAATTAAATTTTTTAATCTATTCATCAGAGCATCATTAATATTTTGCTCATCTGTTTTAACAGAATTTAATTGCAAATCTATTGGTAATATTGCTTGTTGTCTATATATGAGGTAAAATGGAGTGTAACCTGTACTTTTATGTTTCATTGTTCGGTAGGCGAATAATACTGATGAAACATAAGTATTCCATTCATCTTCTTGGTCATATACTAGTTTAGCTAAACACTTTCCTATAGTTCGGTTAAATCTTTCTACCATTCCATTTGTTTGAGGTCGATATGGTGACATCAATCGATGTTTCATTTGAAACTTCTGACATAATTATGCTATTATCTGATTCATAAATGATGTTTTTCGATCTGTGAGTATTTCCTCAGGTGCACTATGTCGACATATCACTTCTTCATATAGAAATTTTGCTACCGTATCAGCCTTGATATCCTTAATGGCTTTAGCTTCTGGCCATTTTGTAAAGTAGTCCATTGCAACTATTATGTACCT